GGGGGGGGGGGGTGCCTGTCAGACCCGGCTACCATCCCCTGCATTTCCGTAATTTTCCAACTTGGTTAGGCACCCCTTGGAAAGAATATTTCCATCAAAAAAGCTGTTGCATTATACTATTAGGCGAAAGATAATTGTTGATAAAGTGAGGAAAAATATTTTTGTTAACGTGAAAACAGTGTCTAATAATCTCAATTTTGCCTTATTGTGAAGGTTTTCCTTTAGTTAATAATTAATGCCAAGTCACAACATGGAGGGGATACCGTACAAGACAAGACTACTCAAGTTGCCCTGTGCATGACCGAACAGTTGTTATGATTATTGTGTCGTTGGATGCCCCTGTCAACTATTGCCTAACGCTTCCACTACTTTTTTTACCCATATAGTTTTTTTTTTTTCAGTTTTACTCAGTCATTTTGCCCGTCCTGAGTGTGCGCTTTTTTACCGGTCTTGAGACTGAAATTTGGTGGCTCGTCAGAAATATCATGATCAGAACTCTTGAAAAGAAAGTGTCTGACCATAACTTTCTCTGGCAGTCATCAGTGAGACGGATACTGAGGCTGCATCTGCTTCTGTGCCCGTTTCTCGAAAGTCCCAATAATTAACGGGCCCTTAAAGCTGTTGTTGTTTACATGCAAGACAGAACTTTCAGTAGTTTTGCATCTAACATGATAAAATTATCAGTTATGAAAAAAATGGAGTATTTTGCTAGCCAAGACCCGCTCTCCTCTTATTCCTTTTATTTCGATCTGAATATTTGATTTCGAGCCCGACAAGTTATGGGGACTTTGGACAAACGGGCCCCTCTGGTCTGTTGTCTAAGGCCTCAAGACGGAATTTACTAGAAAAGTAAACTTAATGCTTTTGCCTCAACAGTGTCCTTTTAACGAGAATTTGAAGACGTCAGGGCCTAACCCATTGGTAAACACGTTTGATTCCAGCTTTCTAACTTGCCGTATCTGCGGTATATCATCTTAGTGTCAAGTTTTAAAGCTTGTTTGAGTAGCCCAGCATGCTGTAAGTAGAAAATTGTCTGATATACTTTGACGCATCCTTTGGTAAAGGAATGAGAGAAGAACAGGTCAGCGTTCTAGACCCCAGGTTTCCTTCATAGTATATATTCAATACTAGAAACTGAAACTCATGTCTTAAGTCTTTTCACTCAAGGAGAGGTTTGTAGACTTGAAAATAGCGCTACGTCACCTACCACTCCACAAGGCCGCCCTGCCTGGATAGCATTTCCCCGGTTACTTTCAATTGCAATATTTTCTTAGTTGCGTGTGCTAATGTAAGTTTTCTAATGCTGGTTAGCCTGTGCATGCGTTTGAAAAGGGGGGAGACAGGGCTTAGAGCGAATTGCTTACCTAACGTCCTTGAGCAAGAGTTACTGCGTAACCCTTTCGACGGATTCTTCTATCTCCTCGACGACCTTTCCATCGGAGTCTTAATAGGTAGTACCCAAGTAAGATTCAGAGCCAACCTTCCCTAAAATATACATATGGAATAACATGATTTCTTTTATTGTGATTCTTCACTCAAGACAAAAAAGCTTCCGAGCCTGAGATCATTTATCGAGGTTGTCCAAAGTTTAATGCCTGCTCAGTGTTTACTCTGTTCAGTGTGTACTGGCAGGGTGTATGATTTTGATGTTTTCCAAACCCTTACTCAATGCTTTTATCACGCAGGTGTCCGAAAAACTGACCACCACTTTACTTTTAAATCAGGTACTTCTATGTTTAGGAATCAAAATTACACCTCAGGGCAATTACGTTACTTTGATAATAATTTGTCACGAACATCAAAACAAGCTGAAATATATTTTATGAATTGTATATTGATAAAGTAATTAGAAGAGTTCATCCGTTCATTGATCAAACCGTTTATAGGTAACTGGGTAAGAATGAGAATCAGAATGTTGAAGGTTGTTTTGCCAATACAATTGAGGAATTTCCATAGGGAGGGATCCCATAGGGAAGTAAAAATTTTAGTTACTCAGTGTTTTGATACATCGATATTCAGGTGGCATTTCCCCAACACCTCTCTTAGTGGCGCTTATCCATAGTTGAGCCTCTCGCGCACGATTGCACGTGCAGCGGAGCACCATGGGTAAGAAAATTTGGATGTTAAAGTCAAGTTTCGAGTTCGCTAATGACAGCTGAATAACAGAGGTGAAGACGCATTTTTTACAGACGTAGCCTCCATCTGAAGTAAATTTATTCACAAATTCCAACGATAGGAAGACCTTTTGGTTACTCTGCTGTCTATTGTGTCTTTTCAAATTTCAAACACTTACTTGTGGGAATTTTAGCCTGAATTTCATCCGATTACTTCGAGTCATTATTACTCCCTCAGCAACGTCTGAATCGACCGGCCGTTAATGCCGTCCAGTGACGTCACTACTCCTTTGCTTTAATTCATGCAAAAAGTAAAACACGATTTTCAACTGTGGGAAACCAAGAAATATTGTTTGGCCGAAATGTCTACATGATACAGAACAGCTGACAGAATTGCTTTACTCTTTTCGATCGTAATTCATGTTTTTAATGTTTAAACTATCAACTGCATGCAGTACTTTTAACCGATTGTAATTCTAACTCGGTCGCAATCACGCAATGAAATAAATACAAGCACGAAACACTTAGTTCAAAAACACAAACAATTTCCTTTAATCGACAAGAAGCTACGTAACGAAGAAAAAAATTAAACAAGGAAACGAGAAAGAAAAGCTAACAGAATCATTACACTTGAAGGTGAAAATAGCAAGAAGGTCAAATGACAACATGACATTCCTCTTCAGATACCTTGCATAAACAAAATCACTGCGGAAACCACAAAGCGACTCTAAATGAAAAACCTACCGACTCTCCGCAATGATTCTTCGTTCGCAGTTCAATTTAGCGATTCAGTTTCGAAGACAAGGGCAATTTTGCTGTTTACGATGAAGATTATCGAAATGTTTGAACTCCACGCAAGCATGCCACCGATGCGATCCGCTGAATATCAAGAGACAATCCCGCTATACTTTCTCATAATTATACATAATTACGCGAATGTTTAGAGAACCAACCAATCAAAATCACTACCCGGTTTTCGGGTAGTAGTGACGTCACTGAACGGCATTAACGGCTGGTCGATTCAGACGTTGCTGAGAGGAGAAAACGACTCGAAGCAATCGGATGAAATTCAGGCTACGGGAATTTGTGAATATTTTACTTTATGTCGAGGCTACTCTATATAAATGTGTCGTTAATGTTTGTATTCAGCGGTAACTTTTAATTCGAAATTGGAAAATTTTTCCGTGAAAAAATCGTTCGTAGGTATGTCCGTACGTCCGCCATTTCCTGTTAGCAGATGTGTATTGTCTTACTACCTTAAAAATAAATCCAAGGCATACAGTCAACTCTTTTTAAGACCGACACCTTGGGGCCTGCAGTATGTGTCTGTCTTAGAGAGATGTCCGTCTTACAGAGAGTCAAATAAAGGAAGTAAAGAAAGGCAGGGACCAACTCTGAGTGTCCGTTTTACAGAGGTGTCTGTCTTATAGAGGTGTCCGTTAAGAGAGAGTAGACTGTATACAAATTGCACTTAAGTCATCCCTGTCATGATTGACAGCTGCCATAATAGGATACCTTCTGAATAGTGTCATGACTGCATCGCAGGCCCACTTGCACAACTCATTGTTGAGGCGACGTGTTCTTTTAAAGGTCTTCGCTAACCATTTATGGTATCCAAGAAATCGCAGGCTCCGAAAACTTTACTTTAGAAATACAGTTCTTAAAAGTACTCGCGAGAGCTTTGCGTTTAGGTCTTCGCTAAATCTATGTATTAAAGTATCTGTTCTAGTCATTAAAAAAAGGTTAAAATGTTTACTGCACTATGTTTCTAGGAAGGTAAAATGCCTTGAAAGAATTGTTTATATTTTTTTCAACTTTTTTTCGAAGGGTTGGTCGCAGAAAAATTCTCATGATTTCTTTTTTGGTGGCTGCTGTTGGTGCAATAGGTGCACTCCTACTCACTGACAAAGCAGAGGACGATCAAGGTACGTCATCAGGTTAAATCTCATGACAAGGATGCAAGTATCGAGTATCGTTTCGGAGTATCGAGTTCCTTGGAAATTCTGAGCTATTCCCACAACTCGCATTCTTTCCTATTGTAAGTAATGCAAGGCAAATGAATTTCAATTTTTCAAAAAATCGAACACTTACTTATGTATTGAGATCCCTAATAAATCAAGAAACAGGAAAGGAAAGGAGAGAAAAGAAATAAGCCAGAAGCCACTAACGCTAAGCAACTTTTAAAATCTCAGCTCCGTCCTTATTACCCGCCTGATCAACTGGATGAGGCCCTTAAACTAGATTAACTTAGACTTATTGCTACATTAACACCCAACATCTTTTCTCAATCTATCCCTCAGGATACTTGGCAGGGAAAATCTTCATGTCTATGGTGGTTGCCAAGTTTAGCATTGAGATTGCATTTTCGTTGGTGTATATTTACTCTGCGGAGCTGTTTCCGACAACTTTAAGGTGAGAGACTTTACTATATCGCTCTCGGTTTTTGATGCCTTAATTGCTTTAGAGTCGTGGCTGATAACCAAAACATTTTGCCACGAGTATTTTCGTTCTACAGCTATTTTGCTCATGCAACGAGACACTACAGAAAAGATAATATTCATAACAAAATTTGATGGCCAACTATAAATCTCTGCATCTCAAATTTACCTTATAAACCAAACAAATTAGCATAACAGCTACAGTTTTGCATTAACGGTTCAAACTTGTTCTTTCGTTTTTCTCAGGAGTGTTGGCATGGGAACATCAACAGCATCAGCTCGTGTGAGCGCTTTTGCTGCTGCTTACGCGCCTCTTTTGGTAAGTGACCACCCCGATTGTCCTTATCGATTGGGCCTAGGGGAAGGGCCCTTAGGGAACTTGTGCAATTTTAGCGGCCACCGCCGCCGTCGTTGCTGCATAAGCTCCCTTTTGACTCTCGTTCCAAAACAATAAGAAGCCAAGGATATTCCGAGTTGCGAGAGCTAATCAAAACGTGCGAAAACTAATTTCTGTCCACTGATTTGGTAAATACCAGGAGCCTAATACTTATAACTTGTAGCTAAATCTTAATGCCTCGACTGTTACAAAGGTTTTACATGCATTTTGATGGCTCAATTATTTTTTACTAGTAATAGGACCGGCTCTCAGCGACATTTCAGGTGAACTCAACGTTCGTTTCACCTTTCTTTTTCAGCTCACCGTTCACCGTTTCTTGCCGTTTGGAATAATGGCTGGCCTCGCAGTTGCAGCAGCAATTGCAGTTATGACTGCACCTGAAACCCATAACCAACCCACCTTGGAAAATTTGTGCCTCGATCAAAATGATGACGATAAAAACAACAAAAATGCTGATAATGTAGACAGCGAGAAAAGCACCTTGATGTAAATTACCTCCTCACTTCAAATATATGTTTTTAAACCTGCATGTTTAAACCTGTTTAAAAAATAAGCTAAGGCTCTAGCACATTTTCCTACGCTTATAATTGCTGTATTAACGCGAGCCTACTGTACTCGTTTTTCAATGACGCGGAATGGCGACCAGGTTGCGACCAAGTACAATGTAGCAATCAATCAGGAATTACACTCTTCTAAGTAAACGAGAAGGAATAATCGGGAGAAAGGATATGAAACAAGGCGAATTTACTTTTTGTTAAAGAGCGACGTTTTCACTACCGCTGTAGCCGTCATGGAACTTCCTACTTGAGGTTGATTGACGTGTGGCGGGAAAAAATACTTCCTGTCACAGTGTTAGAGGCTTTCGTAGTCTTTTCTTAAGGTAGAGAGCCCACCGCGCGGTTGTACAAATACTCATGACTCTTAGCCAGCCCCACCTGAACTCGAGCCGAGCGTGGCACGCGACATAATGTCCCGCCATCAAAGGAAGTCAGATGTCATTTGACGTTTTAATGTAGACGTCAGCCGCGTCACTTGGACGTGCACGATCCATGGAAAGGCCAACGGTCGCTCGTAGTGCTCTCTCTCCCTTGGTAGCGTAGCGTCCGGCCTGGAGAAACCATTGCTCGCAGAGCAAAGTTTTGGTTACGTGGTAAGAAAGCAATATTTAGCTGTCCAGTCAATCTAGAGTTTATTTCAATATTATTCTGTTTTCTGGTCCAACAAAGATCGGGCTACAATTCATGTACTACTGCTTGAATGGACCTTATTCTGTTAAAACTGATGTAGTAACTAGGCACTGTGTAGTGCCAGAAAATATCCTTACCCTCCCCACGTAGGGCATTTTTGCTTTAGACCCCCCACCCGCCTGGAATTTCCATTCCAGGGGGTGCCTGTCAGACCCTACCACCCCCTGCATTTCCGTAATTTTCCAACTTGGTTAGGCACCCCCTTGAAAGAATATTTCCAACAAAAAAGCTGTTGCATTATACTATTAGGCGAAAGATAATTGTTGATAAAGTGAGGAAAAATATTTTTATTAGCGTGAAAACGGTGTCTAATAACCTCAATTTTGCCTTGTGAAGGTTTTCCTTTAGTTAATAATTAAGTCATTGAGAAACATGGAGGGGATACCGTACAAGAGAAGACTACTCAAGTTGCCCTGTGGATGACCGAACAGTTGTTATAGTTATTGTGTCGTTGGGCGCCCCTGTCAACTATCGCCTAACGCTTCCACTACTTTCTTTACCCATATAGTTTTATTTTTCAGTTTCACTCTCGGCCATTTTGCCATGTTCTGAGTGTGCGCTTTAGTACCGGTCTTGAGACTGAAACTTGGTGGCTCGTCAGAAATTCATGATCAGAACTCTTGAAAAGAAAGTCTCCGACCATAACTTTGTCTCTGTCATCAGTGAAACGGATATTGAGGCTGTATCCGCTTCTGGGCCCGTTTCTCGAATGTCCCGATAACTAACGGCCCCCTAAAGCTGTTGTTGTTTACATGCAAGACAGAAATTTCAGTAATTTTGCATCTAACATGATAAAATTATCAGTTAATGAAAAATAGGGAGTATTTTGCTAGCCAAAACCCGCGCCCCACTTATTCCTTTTATTTCGATTTGAATATTTGATTTCGGGCCTGAAAAGTTTTAGGGACTTTGGATAAACGGGCCGGCTGGTCCGTTGTCTAAGGCCTCAAGAAGGGAATTTACTGGAAAAGTAACCTTTTAAAGCGTCCTTTAAACGTGAATTTGAAGACGTCAGGGCCTAACCCATTGGTAAACACGTCTGATTCCAGCTTTTTAACTTGCTGTATCTGCGGTATATTATCTTAGTGTCAGGTTTTTTAAAAGCTTGTTTGAGAAGCCCAGCATGCATGCTATAAGGAGGAAATTGTCTAATATGCTTTAGCGCATCCTTTGGTAAAGGAATGAGAGAGGAACAGGTCAGCGTTCTAGACCCCAGGTTTCCTTCATTGTATACAGCTGTTTCGAGAAAGGTTGTCGGGAAAAGTGCACGCGAAAATCCTGAAAGGCATTGTGGGTGGTTTTGAGTTCTCTTTTTTTCAAAGAAATTTGAAAGAATTGGCACGAAAGGCCATGGAAATGTGTTTGCGAGTGCTAAAAGAAAGCAACAAAAGTAGGTTCGGCAGCTACAGTCGTCAGGAACAGTGTATTGATCATATTCCATATTACCTTTCGGGATTGTCGCGTGCACATTTTTTTCGACAACCTTTCTCGAAATAGCTGTATATTCAGTACTAGAAACTAAAACTCATGCCTTAAGTCTTCACACTCAAGGAGAGGTTTGTAGGTTTATAGCGCTACGTCATCTACCACTCCACAAGGCCGCCCTGCCTGGATAGCATTTCCCCAATTACTTTGCAATATTTTCTTAGTTGCGTGTGCTAATGTAAGTTTTTTAATGCTGGTTAGCCTGTGCAATGATTTGAAAAAGGGGGAGACAGGGCTTAGAGCGAATTGCTTACCTAACGTCCTTGAGCAAGAGTTACAGCGTAACCCGTTTCGACGGATTCTTCTATCCCCTCAACAACCTTTCGATCGGAGTCCTAATAGGTAGTACCCAAGTAAGATTCAGAGCCACCCTTCCCCAAAATATACATATGAAATAACATGATTTCTTTTATTGTGATTCTTCACTCAAGACAAAAAAGCTTCCGAGCCTGAGATCATTTATCGAGGTTGTCCAAAGTTTAATGCCTACTCAGTGTTTACTCTGTTCAGTGTGTACTGGCAGGGTGTATGATTTTGATGTTTTCCAAACCCTTACTCAATGCTTTTATCACGCAGGTGTCCGAAAAACTGACCACCACTTTACTTTTAAATCAGGTACTGTTGGCAGCCAGACTATGCAACCTTTCATTTGTTGTGTAATTGAACAAATAACTTTGGAAACATCAAAGAAATGTATAAACAATTTTGTTTTCTGCTCGGTCTTAAGTTCGAAGGATGGTGTTCGTTGTTACGCAACACCACTCCTTGTCGACTCGATGTATGTTGTATTAAACTAACTCTTTTAAATGGCCGGTAAAAACATCTTTCAAATCGCCGAAAATGTCTTATAAACATATTTTTCTCGTGATGTATTTTGTTCAACCACCTTAAGAATTTAGATCTTAACGCTCATTTGGTTTGAGTGACATTTTATAACCTGGCCCATCTCCAATGACCTCTCGTTTAATGCGTTAGCGCCAGCAGAATTTGGAGCTTGAGAGTAGAAAAAGTAAAAAAAAAAGTGCTCCATACTATAAAGGTAAGTTACTTTCTATTGCATGTTAGAAAATTAATTATCGTACTGTAGAAGTACATCAGATTTCTTCTCAGGAAACGCCAGTGATCTGTTTCGACAACGCCAAGGCGTTGGTGAATTATGCAAACGTCTCATATTTCACTCAAAATTTGTTCAAGTTCAGAACGTTCGTTTGAAGCGCAAATTAAATTACCCAAGCCAGTTCTTACATATGTTTTAGCACAATGTTTAACTACCTTATGGCTTGAGTTTCAGGGAAAACCAAGGAGTAGCGCATGCCTAAAAATTAAATCGCGACCTTCAAGCCTAAATTTAAACTTCGTTGAGTTGAAAAAGAACCAAAACTAAAATACAATTTTTTACCTTCCACATTATCGTTAAGATAAGAATTAACCGCCATACGAGGGCTAAAACCCTTTATAAACTGATTTATCGGGGAATATTTTACCCCCGGCTTTCTTCCTTTTCCCGTACGAGCGAAGTTTTGAGACCGCCTCATTTTGCCTCAAGTTTGGTTGTCTTCAAGTCGCCGGCACTGAAAATTGATTTTGTCGATTTTCACCAAATCCAAGCGGCCTTTACAAAAACAAACTACACCACGTTTAGTTACTTACTAATAAGTATGTGTGGACAAGGTATGAGCGAAATTTAATTTTTGACCGTGGCCGCCGGTTGCTCAATATTTACAGACATTCACTCTTATAAACGTGAAATATGTATAAGAAAGTTGAAACTGGTTTCCTTGATACCGCGTGGACTACTAATGGGCCGCAGCGGCGAGTGAAGCTGATCTACAACGTGATTTGAATCAGAAGGAGAAAACCCGACAATATTTTGTTGTACAGGAAGTCGTGTGAGGTTTGAGGAAAGAATCCATCGAACATGAAACGATTTAACAGGCATTCGATTTATGACTTCGAATCGTAGTTGTATTTTACCAGAAAGTACTGATAACAGGCCGCGTGATCTTTAGCGATGTGGTTCACTCGGAATGTTCCTTGTATCTTTGCTGTATGAGCGTAAATTTTCAAGAATTGATCTTTAAAAAATAAATTATTGCCTGAATCAGTTGCGTTTGATATCTGGTTCTCTTTATGGGTTGAATCGTTAATGTTTGTTTTTTGGAACACCCGACACAACGACTCGGAAGAAAGCAATTGAAATTTATGCAATAGTGATGGGTTCTTGTTTATGCTTAATTTTGCGTTGTTCTTTAAGAATAATTTTTCTACTTATACGTTATGTGGCTACTATTACGATGAAAGCGCGTTTATGCTGAAGCGTTATTAGAATAATCTTTCTACTTATACGTTATGTGGCTACTATACGATGAAAGCGTTTATGCTGAAGCGCTATTAAAAATTGCTTTCAAACACTAGGGGTGACGATTGGTCTTCGCGAGCATTCGCGAGCATGCGAGCACTGCGATTTTTTTGCGAGCACGAGCAGAGATGAAAAATTTGCTTTGCGAGTAGCGAGCAGTTTAGATAGTACAACTCGCGAGCAGCGAGCACTTCTTATATTTCCCGCTTGCAGTAATCCATATGTGAGGATCTTAGGCTTCCGAGTTGGTCACTGCCACGTGCAACCAACTGGCGTACTAGATATTAACATTGAAACTACAAGTAAGGTATTACGGAGAAAATTAAAAGTGCATAAAGTCTTACTTACAATTTTATATTAAAACAATTAGTTGGAAATTATTATTGATAGTAAGGGCAGAGAAATCAAATTACTCATTGGGATGGAAGTTATAGGGGAGTTTTTTTTTTTAAATTTAGAGTGAATGTTTTCCCAGATTTTGAATCCAAAAAAAGCAAAAGTGGCAGCTCCCTAATTATTGCTTATCCTTGCCAAGGGCCATAATAGGACAGAGAGGGAGTCTCTCAGTCACGCCTTTGGGATATCTTAATTTCAAAAAAGTTATTTTTAGAACTATGCGGACCATGCGGAAACAGTTTCCGGTAAACTGGTTGACTTCCGGAAGATTCAGCGCGCCAAAGCGAGGCGGGGTCAATAAATGAAAAAAATGGCTACCTAAAGTGGTGGGACGATGTGGAGGGTGTGTACTTGATAAATTGTCCTTCTTTATCGAAGAACCTACCATAGAAACTGGTTAAAACTTCTACAGAAACGGATCCTTTACAAGAAACGGTAGAAATACAGTTAAAGCGACCGCGTGGACCATCGTTTTTGTTGGAACACCTGGAAAGAGGACAAGTAGCATTGCGGCCCGGATAAGCGTTGAACAAAGACGACCGTACAAGCGATCGTGTGGACGTATTTTCTGTTGAAAGAGGAAGGAAAAAAACGTATAAAGGTTTCGAGTATTTTTCTCACGGACATGAGCAGGAATCATGTGGAAAACACCTTTTCCTGCTTTGACTGATATTTTGTACCGTGCTTCACATTGGACAATTAACAATTACGCTGTGGCTATATGGCCGGTAACCGGTCAAGGTGTTGAAAACACTAAATGGCCGGCAGTCCCATATTCTCGGTAAATTTCACAAAATCGAAAGATTTTTAGCTAATCTAAACTATCATTTGTCGATTAAGACAAGTCAAGCGATCCTGAAATACTTTATAGATCTCAAGTCTAGTGTTTGGATTACACTGGGCGAAAAAGACGAAACCGTGTTTTGTGACACTTAAAACTCTTTTCAGCTCGACTGCCGGTCAAGGTTTTCAAAACACTAAATGGCCGGCTGTGTATAAAAGTGGGACGGGGACAATGGGACGGGGACATCGGAACGCGTGTGTGAAGACTTGGGACTTAGGGACGCGAGACGGGGGACTTGACGAAATTAAGTATGGAACTCGAGGGCGTGAGGGACGGGGGCGCGGGGACGTCAAACACAGGGACGCAGGGGACGCGGGATGCGAATAATTATTGCAAAAGTCGGAGGTAAATGCGATATCAGTCACTTCCTTGTGAATACCTTTTGGTGGAGACAACCCACCCTGCCCTCCTTAGGGTTCCTCCGTGCCTGTTTACGAAGCGAAGACTCGGCGAAGACCCCATGCATTGAAGAAAGTGAAACCGTTGTCCTGGTCTTCTTGCTGATGGAATATTGGAGCCCAAAGCAGGGTAGAGTGGGTTGCGATCGCCAAAAATTACGTAGAATAACAGCATTCGATTCCAAATAAATTTAAAATGAAGTGGCATAAGCGAGCTTCGAATCCTGAAGTGCTAACTCCGAAATCCATCGCCTCTACTTCCAAACCACGAGGGATTCAACTTTTGTAGCAATATTTATTTTGTTCTACGTATTTTAAGTGACAAACCTAACAGTAAATGCTTGCTAACAGTACTTAAAGGTTGATTTCTACTGACGCGTTTTTGGCTATGCACGTTAACTCAAGTAAATTTTAATCACGTAAATAAGATCGAAATAAGATATAAATTGTTGAGATTAAACGTGAAGTTGAGCGAGATTCTACTTTTACGCTTACGCGCGACCTTTCATACATTGCCTCTATTTTATTTGTAAACGCAAATTTTACGCACGTACGCATGTAAAAATTAGGCGACAGTGGAAATCAACCCTAACCCTAATCACGGGGCGCGATCCATTCAACCAAAATTTCCGGGAATTTCGGTCCAAAACTCAAAGAATCGGTTCAGTCCAACCGGAAAAGTTTCGAAAAAAACTGGTCCATTTTTTGAGGTAGACCACTTTTTCCGGTCGAACCGGTCTGAGTTTTGGTTGAATGGATCGCGCCCACGATAGTCAGTGCGCTTACTCCTATTATAAAGAAGTATTTTGTGTAAACATCATAAGGTGTCCCATGTGGTTTTGGAAGATGGAATCTAATGTTGGC